AGCACCTACAGCAACGATAGGATTTATAACCAGCTCTTGAAGTTTGTGGCAAAGAAACATGATCTGTAAATCTCAGATTCTCAACAAAGAAAGCGTCTCGTCACTGGAGAGGCACAGTAACCTCCTTTGGGACCTTCTTACAAACCCGCAGACCCCACTCCTCCTGGCTGCCCTTCATGCTGAGGACAGATCCGGGGTGCAGGAGGAGGGGTTCACAGAAAGAAGAATGAGGAGGGAAACGAGTAGAGGAAAGCCACTGCTTTGAATTAGTCCTCCCTTTTAAAGGCACAGACGGTGTTACAGCAATCACAGAAATTACAAATATTATTAAACACCCCACATTCTCATCACCCTAAAATCTTTTTGTTTTCCCATTTCCTTTTTGGTTCATGCTAATTACATTTTCTGTGAAATTGTAATTTATTTCCTTTTCCTGTAATTCACCTGAGTTTGTGTCTCAGTCCACCTCCACACAATAGGAGGAATTGTAGGTTAGTTACTTCCTTGTAAGTGTGAACAGATTCAGTGGTTTTGTCATTTCTGCTCTATATTCAGTCATCCAGGGTGCTGCGCACCTCATCCTTGGGATAGATGCTGAAGGGACCTGGATCTTTGGGGAGGGCTTCCACCGCTGGGCATTGATCTGTCTCAGGCCTGTTCTAGGGTCAGCTTACTGTGGCATGGGGGCCTCGGCCTTCTGCTGCCATCCCTGCCTTTCGGGCACTTCTCTATTGCTGTCATGTCGCAAGAGCTGTGGATGTTCCTCTCCATTCCTCTGGAAGCAAGGCTCAAATCTTTAGGGCACCAATAGCCTCATGTAACCCTAACCCTAACCCTAACCCTAACCCTAACCCTAACCCTAACTCTACACCTAACCCTAACCCTAACCCCAACCCTAACCCTAACCCTAACCCTAACCTCCTGTTCTCCCTGGAATTCTGCTTGAAGGTGAAGGACAGCATTTCTGAACTGATTCTTATTTTTATTTCTTTATACTCCTGCCTCAGCTCAAAGAATATCTAGTTCCCCAGATCTAAGAAAGATGACGTCTTTGTGCCCTGGTTCCATTTTGAAAATGCCACCCTAGGAGCCAGGCCTGCTTCTATCTTCAGTCACAGAGTGGAGGAAGTTAAAACACATTAAAAGGGAAAAATTATTTAAAATTTCATAAAATCAGCCTGTCATATTTGTAACTATCATGTAATTGTAACTTTGCATTGGGACCATTTAACACGGTACCAGAAGGATTTTGCTTTTAGGTCATCAAGTGATCATTTTTAGTGACGGCAAAAATGAGTGGCTACAGCATAATTTTGTTAACCATCCCTTTATTATTGAACATTTATCTCCAATTTTTAGATATTAGACATAGCACTGCTATACAAGTTAGTAAGTTTTGGGGGGGAAAAATAACATATTTTAACAAAAAACCTGAGAATGCAATTTTATAAAATTGTTCTGAACTAAAGTGAATAGAGCAATTGCTTGCATGATGGCTGGGTGCCCAGGAGCTCTTATCTGGCTTTTAGGATCATAAATAATTCTGCATATTAGGAACCCTAGTCCTTGCCCTCCGCTGATTGCTATCATCTGCATCACCCTGACGTTCGAGGGTGCAGTGTTTCAGAAGAAATGAGAATCCTCAGCAACCAGGAACTGTTGTTTTCTGTGGATGGGATCAAGGAAGGAGATTGGACATATTATTGAATAGAACTTTCTCTTCATTGGCTTAAACCTAACCACAATTTTACAGTTTGAAATTCTAGCGTAACTTTTTTCCCCACCATAGTAAAAATTTAAGTCATTTCTGCTAATTTTCTTAACACAGTTTAAAAATTGTGTTGTTTGAGAAATTCAAGAACTTCTGAATTGTAAAAAACAAAAGAAAGAAAGAAAGAGCACTAATAAAGTCCCAAGAACAAAACAAGTTGAGTATCCTGATTCTTACAAAGTAAATTTGTAAGAATGTTTTATTTAATGACATAAGATTTTTACAGGACACTTCCCAATATCCTACCTATGAGATCTCCATTTTGATGTCATGTTTGCTTTTATAAAACACTAGAGGCCCAGTGCACAAAATTTGTCCACAGGGGGGAGAAGGGGTATCCCTCACCAGCCTGCACCCTCTCCAATCTAGGACCCCTCAAGGGATGTCTGACTGCCTGTTTAGACCCAATCCCAGGGAGATCAGGCCTAAACAGGCAGTCGAACGTTCTTCTCACAATCCAGGACTGCTGGCTCCTAACTGCTCACCTGCCTGGCTTCCTGATTGCCCCTAACCACTTCTGCTTGCCAGCCTGATTGATGCCTAATTGCTCCTCTGTCAGCCCAATTACCCCTAACTGCCCTCCCTTGCCAACCTGGTCGCTCCTAACTGCCCTCCCTGCTGGCCCGGTCACCCTCAACTGCCCTCCCCTGTAGGTCTGGCCCCCCCAACTGCCCTCCCTTGCAGGCCTGGTCACCCCTAACTGCCCACCCCTGCTGTCCTGGTTCCCCCAAACTGCCCTCCCTGCTTGGTCCCCGTGACCCCTGGCAGGCCTGAAAGGCCCAAGCACTTCAGCCTTACTGCTCAGCCCCAGACACTCCAAAGGCAGTAGAGCAGTGAGGCTTGATCCACTAGGTGGATCCTGCCTCTCAGCTTGGTCCCCGCAACTCTTGGCCAGGCCAACAGGCTCAAGCACTCTAGCAGCAGGGCTGAGGGGACTGAGCACCACCATATTGTGGCTATGGGCACTGCCAACTTTGTGATGGAGTGATGGTTAATTTGCATATTGTTCTTTTATTATATAAAATCAAAGAACAATATGCTAATGATATGCTAAGGCTGCTCAACTACTCGCTATGACGTGTACTCACTACCCGGGGGCAGATGCTCCAACCGGTAGGTTAGCTTGCTGCTGGGGTCCAGCTGATTGAGACTGAGCGAAATGGGCCGGACACACCCTAAAGCCCTCACAGTTGCTCCCCAGTTGGCCAACCTCCTGCATCCCTCCCTGGCCCTGACCATCCACCAGTGGGGTCCCTTGGCCTAGCCTGCGCCGATTTCAATCTGGGACCCCTCAGGGGATGTCGAAGAGCCAGTTTTGGCCTGATCCCACAGGCCAGGTCAAGAGACCCCACTGGTGCACAAATTCATGTACCAGGTCTCTAGTAGAAAGATATGTGGACATACGTCCTGTATTTCAAAAGAGCTTATCACATAACCTAAGCAGCAGACATATGCGTCACTATTTTGTAAGGAGGCCAGAGGGGTGAGTAGACATTCTGGCTTTATGCCATGGTAGCACAGAGGCAGGAGCAAACCAATTTTGATTGGAAGATCCAGGATGGCTTGACCAAGGAAGGAGCCTTTTAGCTGCTCTGGAAGAAGTAGCATTCTGAGAGTTGGAGAAGGGAATTCCAAACTGAGGGAGCAGATGAGCCAGCCTTCCTTAGTAAGGAGGTGCACCCCTGAGCAAAGGGGTGGTGGATCTGGGCAGATCATACTGAAGCTGATTCTGAAAGGCAGTTGAGGCCTGATGGTGTCCATTTTCAAGAGTCCAGATTAATTGGTTTGGACTTTTCAATACTGTGTCTGGGGAAATAGCTTATGTATTCTTTCTGTTCTTTTCCACTACCCTATTCACCATTTAGGGATGTGAGCCTCTTACCCTTATGGAGAGAGAACTTGGACAGTTTTAATATTTTTGTTAATGGTTTGTTTTCCACCTCAAACTATGTTTGCCATCTAGTGATTAATCCACGCCATTACAACAACCTGTCCCACACTCCTGGTTTCTCAGCTTCACAGTTAAGCCTTCAGACTCCCGTTGGCTGTCACTTCTACCCTGAACTTCACTTTCCACATGTCGTGCTTACAGACATTGGCATGTAGAGACATCAATAATGAAGTCTGACCCCTCAGAGAGTAGTGATAATATTCACATGAAAGAAAACGCAGTTGTTTAGGAGAAATGAACGTTAGAAATTACTGTGAGAAGTTTAAGTAGGATCTGATTTGAAAGTTAGGCGGTAGCAGCACCTTTGTGTGACTATAGGTTACTGAGATACGCGGCTGAGACTCCAACCATGATGGGTTCCACAGTCATTCCCCGGCTTTCTCTTCTTCGTGTCTCTTCCAAATGGAGACAAAGACTTTTAACAACATTGCCTCCAAATGGGTGATAGCTGTTTGGACATAAGTCTCCAAGTTTCTGACTTTCTGAATGTAGATCAAAGTAAGGAACTGCACATTCTTCTATTTGTGACATCCTTGAGTAGCTAAGTCTACCCAACAGTATTGCTTTCAAAGGCTGCCGTTAATTAGTTGGGAGAATGGGCCAAAAAATACTGTGTTATATATGCAGGGGATTTAAAGTCATCAATCACCCAGAATCTTGAAGGACCCAGGGAAACATTTAGCCTCTAAACCAGAGCTTTCAGAGCTGAATTAGTTTCTAAACTATGATGATTTCTGCATCGTTGGAAATTAGTCTAGTAGGTCCAGTAGGTCTTTTTGCCCCAGAGATCTAAGCTATGGGAAATAATTTACTCAACAGCTATTAACTGAATGCCTATTGGCCAATCTCTGAACTAGGATATAACAATAGATATAATATGTTACACATGAAATAATTATGTAAGTCTTTTTGAAAAATTTGTTATAGCCTCTCTCCTTTATTCTCCCCCCTCCCCCCCCCATTCTCAACACACCTTCAATGAGCTCCAAGCAAGTCTTTCTTGCAGTGAATTTTGTTCTAAGAGGATTATGCTGTGGGTACAATTCCCGCTTTACTGCCAAGGTCACTTATTTTTCAGTTTGTTATGAACTGTTAGCCTGGAAAATAGCTTCTGGTCTCCAATCTGAAAGCAGTCCTGAAGCCCTGAGATGGGATAGAATACACGGTGGGAAGCCATCGGCTCAGTCTCTAACACATGTGAGAGGCTTGGCTGTCGTTTTAAGCTGTTACTGTATGTATCTTCCAGTTGTTGAGTCTGTCTGCCTCTGATTTTTTCAGGGAAGGCCGGAGGTACCGGGTGTACGTCGTGATACCACTGCTGCCGGGGTTTGAAGGAGACATTAAAACTGGTGGAGGAAACGCCCTCCAGGCGATAATGCACTTCAACTTCAGGTGCCAGAATCCTAGTGTGCTCTGTTTTCAGCTTTCAATCAGCTGTGCCCAACAGCTGGTGAAAGGAATGGAAATGTTTCTCCATATCTATTCAGTGGAGTGTTGAACAAATGAACATTTGTCTTTATTTTACTCTAAATCTTGGTCTGTTTAATAGTTGGTAAAATTCAAATAGAACCTAAAATCATAAAGAATAGGCCTATGACACATGGCAACTATAAAAAAAACTAAAATATTGGCTTCATTTATATTTGTTGCCTAGTATATATGTACATATAATATTTATAATATATAGGATATATAGTATACATATTGTAAATGTAAAATAATGTATAATAAATATCACATATAAATATAATGTAAAATATAAAGTATATGGAGTTACTGACTCCATTTATAATATACATATTTATGTATACTAAAGAACTAAAATATTAGTCTCCTTTATATTCACATATATTTTATATGTATGTATATTTATTTGTAATATGTATACATATTACATATAGAAACAGGGACTTTATATATTATATAAAATATATGAATAAAAATACATATGCCTATTGATTTTTAAATTATTGTTAAAGCTACCAAATAGTTATTGACTTTTCTATATTCTTTGCAGTTATATAGAAAAAAATGCTTAAAATGCTATGATTTGTACAAGTTTGTTTATGATTTTCTAGGTAGTAAATCCTTCAACAAGGTTGTAAAAATACTCTGCTAGAAGCATGAAGGTTCTTTCCAAGCTCCTGAAATTTTAATTCTTTTCTTCTACCACTTCTTAGCTAAAATTATAGGGGAAATGGTTAAGTTCTATTTTGATATTCTAAAAAACAGTGTCTATGCACTGCTCAAAAGGCACTTGAGCTCTGGCTGGTTTGGCTCAGTGGATGGAGCGTTGGCCTTCGGACTGAGAAGTCCTGAGTTCGATTCTGGTCGAGGGCACATGCCTGGGTTATGGGCTCAATCTCCAGTGGGCGGGAAGCGGGGGGAGGGGATGCAGGAGGCAGCCAATCCATGATTCTCTCTCATCGTTAATGTTCCTATCTCACTCTCACTCTCCCTTTCTCTCTGAAATCAATAATAATAATTTTAAAAAACCATATATTTTTTAAAAGGCACTTGAGGCTTCAGCCTTGGCCAGTGGAGCATCATGAAAAGGGTTGAGGGGGCCTAGCTGGTGGGCAGGTGTGGAGAGGGTTTCTCTCTGTCACGTAGCTGAGAAAGATAATAGGAGAGAAGAGGCAGGTGGACATCCTGGGCATGGCTCCAGGTCCCAGCTATAAGCTCTGTAACCTGAGATACAAAAGAATCCTACTCAAGATCCCCCTTTTAATAACACAAAGCAAAGTACAGAACCTGGGTATTTTCTTTTAATATCCCTTGTTTTTCAAAGTGCCTATAAGTTGACCATTTTTATAATCAAACCTTTTTTTTTGAGGACAAAGGAAACCTCACAGAACCCCCAGTATGTAAAGCAAAAAAGGGTTTGGAGCCTTCATCAAATTAGGGGTGGGGGATTAGATGCCTTGCTTCTGGATCCCCCCCCCCCCCAGTGGAACCCCTTGAAGGATCTGAGGGTCTTCTGTGCACAGTTTGAGTGCCTCGTTGTGGTGGAAATCTTTTTTTTTAATCCTTTTATTTTATTCAGACTTTTCAAGCTTCTTTCTGTATGCTAGGGTTTCAAGTAAAGATTTGTTTGTTTGTTTGTTTCTCTCTTCTTGAGGAATTTTGCATGGTTACAGTAAGAGAGAACTTAAACTGCGGTTTGGTCTATACACTTCGTTTGAAGATGGGCCCATTTCTACTATTATCTGATTTATAACATGACAAACAAAGCTTTTCAAGTATTTAAGGCCCCGACATAATGTTTAATCAGCTATTAACCACTCTATTTGCCATTCTAATGTTATTTTTTGGAATATTGTCAATTGTAATTGCTTTTTGTGATTATTTTCTTGAGTTTGAACCAGCTGAATAAAATAACATGGTTGGCTTTTGTTCAGCAACTAAACCTATAACCTTTTATTATGCAAAACAACTCTATTTGCTGGCATCATCTGTAATAATATCAGCATTTCCCAGGCATAACTGTATTTTTAATTGCTTTCATAAAGCAAGCAGATGGAGCATAGAATTTTTTGTTTTGTCAGTCTTTACAACTTATAGACTATTATCAGTCTTAAGAAACAAAATCATTAATAGTCAGTTATTTGAAACTATTTTTCACTTTTAAGGGGCTTGCCAACTTTACATAGAGCCCAAGTGTAATAGTTTCTTTAATTATAAAATTATTCTGCTAAATTTTTGCCCTTTTTACCTTTGAAAGCAATGTGATTGGGTAAGTATTCTTATCTACGGAGGCAGTCTACATTTATCTTCACTGTCAACAAATTTTTTACGAAGGAAAATTCATTCATAATCCATCTTTAAAAAATAGCATCTCTTTCTGAAATAAATTACATAATTTTCCATTTACCCACCTCAAAACAACTACCTTGTTCCATCAGTAGCATTACAAAAGTAATATTTATTGTTTTTCATGTTTTAGATTTTTTTAAAAGATCTATGTAGCATTTTTTTTCTAAAAAGTACTTGTTTTGTTTTTACCTGTATTATGACTAAATCCCACAAATTGGGATTAGTTCCTTTGCCACCTCCATAATGATTTCCTTTCTTTACATATCTTTAGGACCATGTGCAGAGGAGAAAATTCCATCCTTGGACAGTTAAAAGCAGAGCGTAAGTAACTGCTTTGCTTTGCTTTGCTTTTCCTCCATGGCTGTTTTGACAACATACCAATAATCATTAATATTTTAATAGTGTGATTTTAGAACTCTATTTACAAAAGGTATTCCATGCAATACTTAACAGAGATCAATCTATTTTCATTAAATCATCCAAACGAATGACTTGAGATGCACAGGTAATAAAAATCAAAGTATTTTATAATGTGTTTTATTATGTATATTTATTTGTAATAACTGTTTTTGATAATAAGTGAGGTTTGTAAAGCATTTCACAAGATCTTACATATATCTTCTCTTATGATCCTTCCCCCCAGTCCTAGGTAGTAAGCAGGTAGTAAGTCATGCCTGCATTAAAGATGAGGATATAAATGCTACAAGGTTAACTGTATTCATGTGGCCTCCTATAAATATAATAATTAGGGTCTAAATTTTTTAGGATATTATACTGGAGGTAAATAAGAACACAGTAATAACTTTCACTTATTTGAATTCTTTCTATTTTCAAAGGTACTTTCTCAGATACTTTCTTAAATAATCCTTTTACGTAGTTCTTAACTAGAATATATTGTAACCCAGGGTTTACTTGTCTATTGTATATCTCTGTGAACTGACTCTAACTTCAACACATAATAGGTGCTCAATAATGTTATATATCCTGTACAATAGAAAGTTCCAACAAGAAGTAAGCTCAAGTCAGAACCCAAATTGTCTGATCTTCAGTTCAGATTGGATCTGTGTTGTAAAAAAAATTGCAGGTGCTCATTAAAAAACTAGATTTTATCCAGAAGAAGATAAAAGGAGGTTGATGAAAGCCTCTGAATCCTGAAATTCCAGGCCTCAAAGGGAGGGCAGTTGGGGACGATCAGGCCTGCAGGGGAAGGCAGTGGGGGTGATCAGGCCTGCAGGAGAGGAAAGTTGGGGGAGACCCAAGCCTGCAGGAGAGGGAAGTTGGGGGGAACCAGGCCTACAGGGGAGGGCAGTTGGGAGCACCTGGCCAGAAGGGGAGAGCAGGTAGGATGATTAGGCTGGCAGCAGAGGACAGTTAGGAGTGACCAGGCCGGCAGGGGAAGGCAATTGGGGTGATCAGGCTGGCAGGGAAGCAGTTAGACATCAATCAGGCTGGCAGAGGAGTGATAGGGGGTGATTAGGCTGCCAGGCAGAAGCAGTTAGGGGCAATCAGGCAGGCAGGCAGGCGAGCAGTTGGGAGCCAGCAGTCCTGGTGAGATCAGGGCCTAACAGGGCAGTCAGACATCCCTCAGGGGGTACCAGATTGTAGAGGGTTCAGACTGGGCTGAGGGACACCCCCCATGCACGAACTTGATGCACCAAGTCTCTAGTTTAGATATAAAAAGAATATACTGATCCATGCTACAACATGCATGAACCTTGAAAATATTATACTAAGTGAAAATAAACCAGACACGAAAGGCCAAAGGCCATATATTTTATAATTCCATTGTTTATTAAAAAAAATTTTTTTTTAACAGTCAAGAAAGTAGATTAGTCATCCCAAGGTCTGGGGAGAGAATACTTATTAGGGTGACTCCTAATAAGTATGGCTTCTTTTGGGGGGTAATAAAAATGTCTTAAGATTAGATAGTGGTGATAGTTGTATAGCATCTCAATATACTTTTAAAAAACACTGATTTGTATGCTTTAAAAGCTGCATTTTTATTGTACATGATATTTTAAATGATTTGGAAGCTTTTAAACTCAAAATAATGAATTAAACTTTTAGTGTGTGTGTGTGCGCATGTGTGTATGTGTGTTCAATGTTCAATAATTTTTCACTAATGGTCTGCTCAGTCTAAAAAGAAAAAAACTTTAGAAACAATCTTTGACACAGACATGCACATCACCAATAACAAATACTTTCCAAAGTTGTATCTGATTGCATCCAGGTCAGAGAAGATTTACCAGAGCATTATCCCTAAACTCAATTTTCTAATGGTTTACCATGAAGATGATAGTGAATGAGTAAGTCTAAAAGATACACTGATAAAACCAGAAGAGCCATTCAGTGGTGACTATGGCTAGTAAAATGCAAAGGCGAGGTTAGGGGAGAATAAAAAGTCCAAACAAGCTTGTTTGGTTTCTCAACCATAAAAATGGCCCACACTTATTCTAAAGCATGTCTTTGGCTCTGGACCCTTTTCCTGCCTTTGCCTATTCAGGGGAAAAATAGGATTTTAACAGAAACGTAATTTCAGTGTTAAGCCCTTTTATGAAAAGATTTCCAAGTACCCTGGGAACAAGTCAAAATCAGATATCTCAGTGGGGGAGATGTTCATACTCTTAACAGGGAAGAACAGATTAATTACATAATGCCCCTTTTTGAGGTACCATGTTCTATTGTTGGCTTTGTTTTTGTAAGTGCGTAGTGGGCTTTAACTACATGAACCAGCTGATCTCTAATTGGATAGAGAACTATAGCTGTCTACTGTTTCCGTTCTTTAAAAATAACAAAACTGCCGCTGTGAATATGTTAACATTCCTGAAAAGAAAACCAGCAGCTATTGGTGTATAATTATCTAATACTCCAATCTCCAGGGATTTCGTGTTTAATTTAAAGCATTTCTTTATCATTTTTTATGCTTATTGTGAGTTGTGACATTTTAGCATTCAATTAAGTATAATTTTAACAGAAGGTCTGGATGTATTCAACCAGGATTAGAAATGTACAGATGCCAAGTGCTACACGTTTTTAAGTAACTAAAGCTTGTAACAACTATTGAAGTCCTTTCATAGAATTCCCTTATAAATATCGAGAGTCTATTGTATTGACTTCCTCATCTTTCAAGGTATAGATGTACCAATGTCATAACAGATAGGTCCCAGGGATCTGTATAAACCTCAAAATTCCCAAATACCTGTTTCATCTGGAAACCTCCCTGATATGTTTTCATCTGTTGCTTCATATTCATGCTTGCACATGTTCCTGGCATTCTCTCATTTTCTTTAAAAGGCGCTTGTTTCCTCAGCCTGTCCTCACAACACAAGTGAACACCACCAATGTTGTATCTAGTTTTCTTCACAGAATAAAATACCGGCTGAAATAGTTTCTCAGCTTGCTTTTTCTTGCTAGATGGGCGCGCCACTGCATTTGACAGGCCGCACTTGAAATCACCCCAAATCTTCACTTTCTGACTGAGGGACCCTTATCTTTTAGGTCCTGTTACTGGTACTAGTCATTAGCGTTCTTCTGGAAGGCATTGTTCATAAACAACTTAGGTTTCTATCACTTCCTAAGAATATCTCATAGTCAAGGCTGTGGGCTGGACTGTGTGGGCTGTGAGGCACTCTGGGTAATTGATGTGACTGATACTCTCCAGCCTAGCTTTGGGAGGGCACCAATCCGTGCCTTCGAAATTTACAAATTATTAGGTCTTTAACTTTCACGCTGCTATCACTAATCTTTAAAAAAATATATTTTTAAACAATTTTGGGCTTTCAGTTTCTAGAACTGCTATACATCTTTCATTCTGACTTCTCAAATGTTAACATCTTACCTTTTTGCTTCATCATTCTCTCTTAATAAATAGGTGAGTATTTTTCTCCTGGACCATGAGGAATAAGTTGCAGCCATAATATTCATTTACCCCTGAATACATAAGTGTGTGTTTCGGGGGGGGGGGGGGCATTTTTAAAGCAGCTATAAGTCAATTATCAAAACAAATAAAATTAACATTGATGTCATACTATTATCTTACTGTAGGCATTCTTGAAATTCTGCCAGCTATCTTACTGATGTGCTTTACAGCAAAAGGAGGATAGGGATGCTTTATTCTGACCCAGGACTTAATTAATAATCATGCGTTGCATTTGCTTACCATGTATTTTTATTTGTATTTAACCTGAAATAATCCCTCAATCTTTTTTTTTCTTTTGGGAAGGTGAGAGACTTTTATGATCTTGATAGTTTTAAAGGATATAGATTAGTTAATTTGTAGAGGAGCCTCCAATGGGGGTATATTTATTGTTTCCTCGTGATTAAATTCAGGTTATGCATTTTCAGCAGGGACATTACACAAGTGATGTTGTTCCCCGTGGGTGGTACCAGGAGGAATACGATGTTGCTTTGCCCCATTACCAGTTGTATGAACTTTGACCACCGAGTGAAGGTGGTATCTGCTCAGTTTCTCCACATAAAATCACTGTATTTCCCTCTGTAATAAATAAGTATTTTGTGGGAAAATACTTTGAGACTATGTAAATACCCTGCTTCTCACCAGACATTCAATAATGTTTTTAGCATGCATTGAGTCTTTTCTGAATCAATCACTACTACTATGATTCAATTATTATTTCTGGTAATTGCTAAATGCTAATTTTCAAATTCCTTTATTTTTTCTATATTTATTACTTCTTTTTCTAAATTTCTTAGTTACAATTCTACTAAAATGAGAGCTTTCCCTTCTTTGACATTTATGTATTCATTCTTATATTTATATTGGTATGAATTTATGGATTCTTGTTTTATTCAATGGATCATAATTTTTGATGTTCAGGTCACATGTTTGGCCTTTATGGGATTCTCTGAAGGGGCTTTCAACAGGCCTTTGTTTTGTTTTGTTTGTTTGTTTTTACTGGCACAACAAAGGCTTCACACTCATCTTGTACATTCCTAGAATTAGCCCTGTAATCAGTCATTTCTCCAAGGAACCTGGGTTCTTTCTGTGGAAAATAGAACTTAGAAACCAAAATATGGGTGCTAGATATGATCATTGCTACTGAGTTATCACTGCTTTAGACCCTTTGTATTCTGTCAATCATCTATCATCTATCTATCAATGATCTATCTATCTATCTATCTATCTATCTATCTATCTATCTATCTCCATATCTCCATACTGATATCTCCAAGTTTAATTCCCCAGCAAAGGATTCCTTTCTTTTATAGTGAGAAGCCTGGCTCCTATTACCTATATTATATGTACCCATTTTCTCAGCCCCAGAATGCACAGAGAATAGTTTCTGAATTGCTAGTCCATG